GAAAGAGAAAAAACGAGGACATGTTGCCAAATTGGATTAGACTTTCCCTTTTCTTTTTTAGTCATAGAAAATTCAAGACTTGACAAACTGATAATAACTGTTACATTGGAGGGAGGTGGTGTTAGGTCTAGAACAGAATGGAGGAGAAAGGAGGAAGATAGTCTTTTATGGAGACCCCCCCCCCCACACACACACACAAAATAATAAATATTAAAAACCTGACTCTTCTGACTTATGTTAATGGTCTTCTCTTTTCTCATTTAACCAAAAATAATAAAAATTGAGACTATGGAATATAAAATGGAGAATCTGAGCATGTGGATCTTACAGAGCTAAACTAAATGCAGGCCAGAGTGCCAACTTTGGCTGTTAAAAGATAGTCTGGCAGGTCCTGAGCCTAGGAGAAACTGTTAAGTAGATGATCTGAGCTAGAGAAATAAGAAATGAGTAGGAGAAAGGACATGTTCCAAATGAATGATAAAAAAAATAAAATTGGGTATGCTTTTGTCATTTATAGACAAGTACCAATTTATAAACTGGTCGTGTTCTCAAAAGTTCAAATGGCTATGGCAGCAACAACAGACAAGTAGAATGGAGGGAAACAGAAGTAGTTCACTGATTGTTGGAAAGGACCTTCAAAAATTCATAGTCCAATGCTTATACTGAGGAGGAAGAAAATGGTTCAGAAAAGTTGATCATCTTGCTTAATATCACTGTGAGATTTAGGAACAAAGGTGGGTCTTGGGATTCCCCAGGCAGTCCACTAATCATGCTGTGTTGTCTACAAGAAGGAAGCCAGTAAAAATAATTATGGTGAGGAGCAGAGGAGTAAGAGGTGGGCTGCCCAGATGACAGGGAGACAGGAGGGAGAAGAGGAAGTGAAGGTGGTAGGAAAGGAACGCTCAGAAACAAGGGGCAGGAAGTGTGATGCCTGATCTGGGTCCCATCCTACCTAAAGTAAACAATTCGGGTGCATTCTGAGTGATGGCTTCCTACATGTGGACGTTTGGTTTCACAGAAGATGTGGCATACAAGGAGAGAAATGGCCAAGATAGAGTCTACAAGTTTTCAAAATCTCAGCATTTCTCACTGCTGTTTTCTAAGCCCCCTGAAATTCATTAATTTATTCAACAAATATTTATGGAAGCCCCTATCTGTGCCAGGTGCTGTGCCAGGCCAGCTGGCTATAGTAGTAATACTGGCAAGGTACAGTTCCTCTGGGGTTTGCTTTCTAGTGAGACAGATGAAATGTAAGCCAAATCGATAAGATGATGTCCCGTTGTTAAGTGGTATGAAGAAAACACTACAGCAGCAGTTCTCAACCTGCGGGTCGAGACCCCTTTGGGGGTCGAATGACCCTTTCACAGGGGTCGCATAAGACCATCAGAAAACACATATATAATTACATATTGTTTTTGTGATTAATCACTATGCTTCAATTAGGTTCAATTTGTAACAATGAAACTGGGGGTCACCACAACATGAGGAACTGTATTAAAGGGTCGCGGTATTAGGAAGGTTGAGAACCACTGCACTACAGGATTAATATGGTAGTGACTGGAGTATCTACTTTACTAGTAGATTGGATGGTCAGGAAAAGCCTCTTTGAGGTGACAGTTGGTGACAGGCCAAGAGCTTAAGATTGAGATGTCTGGGTAGAGAGCACAGCCCACACAAAGGCCCAAGTGCTGATCCGTCCTGGTAGGTTTGCAGAGCCTCCAGAAAGCCCATGAGCTAGCAGAAGAGATGAAATGAGGTCATGGGGTGAGCTCAGCCCTATCAGGCTGGTGCCTGTGTTCATTTAGCAAGTATTTATTAAGCATCTAGTGTGCCCAAGGCATTGATGAGCATACAGAAATGGAACTGAGAAACCCCTACCTCAAGGATTCTGTCCCCAGGGAAGTTAAAATTTAGTGAGGGTGCCCGAATATTCAAAACAACTTTGGTACAGACAGGGACACCCTAGATGTACAGAACCGCGGCCTGAGGTCAGAGAGCCGGCCGGCCATCTCCTCCCCCCGACAGGGAGGTAGGGTCTTTCCGGAGATGAGTAACCGAGCCCACCTTTCCTCCACGGGTGCGCCTTCTCGGTCCCCGTGGGTGGGGGCGGGCCACAGAAATCCCCAGCCCGCTAGGTCGGCCGCGCGGTGATGAGCACCTGATTCACCGA